TAAATAAGCATGCTGTATTTGTAGCCTGTACCAGACATGGCTGTTCACACATCATGCTTACCATTATTAAACAATAATCAGAAAAAAAAGCCTTGTACTGAAATCCCCAGGCCTAATGCATGATGAGATTGTCTCGGTAACCAGACACTGTCCACCACTCAAAAATACCTTATAAAATCAGGTAAAAACACAATTTCTACCCAGAGTGCCTTATAAAAAGAACACTAGGAGCTATTTACATTAAACGGCTTACATATCATAACTTCAAAAGAATTTCAGAAAGTCTCAAACCCTTTCAGTGTAGAAAACACTTAAGAGTTTGTTTTAAACAGTGTTGTACATGCTTCCCGCACACCACAGGACCATTGCTCCATGCTGTGACTGCGATTTTTCTTTTCCATAGTGTGGAGCCTTCAATATCCTGTGCTGTGTTTTTTCATAGTCTGTGAAAAACATTCCCAGATAGGAGGAAATACTAGTCAACTGACACGTCAAAGTCACATGACAGGTTTTCTCCTATTGGCACTTTTTTACCAGTTCCTTAGAATGGCTGGCTTTACTTGCTTCAAAATCCCAAAGCCACCAAAATGTTTGTAAAGCACGCAGCTGTACTTACTAATTGTGATGGAACTGTTCTTCATTTAAGAAAACAACGGTATGGCGACAAGGGATGGGTGGCTACCCTAGGTGCAATGGTTTAACTGTAGGGATGGGGGAACTTTCCTTCTGCCACAAGGCTAAGAGGAGTAAGTAGTGACAGGCAAATGACTGCTGGGCATAGGATATCCTAAGCTTGCACATCATGAATAAGGGAAGGGGGGCGCACAGTTTGGCATCTTTGCCCTGGGAGCTGGATGACCTTGTCCCAGTACTGGTATGGCATAAGTTAGGTCACATAGCTACTTTAAAAATTGTCCCTTACTAATCAAGGGTACAAATGCTCTATCAAGTACAATTAGAAGAATGATTAAATACATTAGGGACCGCGTGCAGCCATTTTTGCTCCTGGACATGTGAAAGCTGAACAAAAAAGCAAAATAGTAAGTCAACATGGTGTAGATGAAGGAGAGGGTTTGACTATAAATATATTACGGTGTCATTCTACAGCTTGGCCGCTCCTCCATTAGAAGGAAATGAGATAAAGTAATATTTAGCTATTAGAGATTTCATCATCTGAAACAGCAGTTAACAAGGGTTCTCACTCTTCCTGTTGAATGTTACATTTTTACTGTATTACATTACAAATAATGAAGCAGTAGGAACTGGAACCCATGGTGTGTGCCTGGCAGAGGTTGAGTAAAGGAACCCTTTGGCCTCATGCACACTCTGCATTTGCTCAGCTCCTCTAAACACCTTTGCTCCTGGAAGGAAAAAAAACAGCTGAAAAAAAACTTGCCTAAAGCCGCAATTTGCATGCACTTTTAGGCACATCAAGCTTATGGGTGTTCATTCATTCCATTGGCCAGAATATTTATTCTGGCCAGTGGCAATGAATGAATGCTCAAGCGCTAAATGCACCTAATGTTTAGGCATGTTTATGGGCGTTTAGGTGGATCAAGCATTTTGTTTGCTCAAAAACCCCTCTCCTGGACACGCAAGTGATGTTCTCTTTTTCAGCCTCTAAATACTCCTCTTCCAATACACCTGTAAATGCGTATGTGTACATGGCTACATAGGCTAACACAGAAGTGCATTTAGGGGCTGAAACAAATTAAATGCCTATAAAATTGGCGTTTTTTACATCCTGCGTGCATGAGGCCTTAAAACAACTTAACATTCCTGTTTACAAAGAATCACCCCAATTTTACCTTTTTCGTTAAATCAAATACTTCTATTTATCATCTGAGTGAAAATGAGTAGCATTGAAACAGCTGAAAAAACGTGCCTAAAGCTGCAATTTGCATGCGCTTTAGGCACATCAAGTTTTTTGGGTGTTCATTCATTCCATTGGCCAAAATGTTTATTCTGGCCAGTGGAATGAATACATGCTCAGGCACTAAATGCACCTCATGTTTAGGCACGTTTACAGGCATTTAGGTGGATCAAGCGTTTTGTTTGCTCAAAAACCCCTCTCCTGGACAAACAAGTGATGTTTTCTTTTTCAGCCTCTAAACACTCCTCTTCCAATACACCTGTAAATGCCTATGTGTACATGATTACATAGGCTAACACAGAAATGCATTTGGAGGCTGAAAAAAAGTAAATGCCTATAAGAAGTGACGTTTTTTACATCCTGTGTGCATGAGGCCTTAAAACAACTTAACATTCCTGTTTACAAAGACTCACCCTAAATTTTACCTTTTTCATTGAATCAAATACTTCTATTTATTGTTTGAGTGAAAATGAGTAGCATATTTATGGCATAATTATACTCATTAAACTGCAGAAGCCTGTAAATGGCATTGTGTCCTGGCAAGTCAGTGGCACCAATAAAAAAGTGCTACTTCTACTGCCTTGTGAATTAAGCTGCTCATAAGTTGATGGAAATCCTGACATAAGACTATGGCAGGTGGAATGGAAACCAATTCACCTAGACAAACATATCCCAAATGACTGGTCCTCCATGCTGAGCAGCAGTGTCTATAAGCAAGCATATATTAGAGGAGGCCAGGATTCTCAAATAGCTCCTGTGCCATTGAGAGAGAAAGAGATTATTCATCCAAGTTTAATCGAGAAATTGGTGTGATCAATACTCTAGACAACTTCATCTATTGCAATAAAAGTACAGATATAGTAAATGAGTAAATATTAACTTGTTAGTCAGAATTTCATTATCCACTAAGCATATTAAGTTGGAAACATCTTTATTTCGTAAAAAAAAACTCAAAAGAGTCAAATTACAATGTCAAATTATAATGGAATTTTGGAGCAGTGCAATTTCATAATAAACTAACCAACCAATTAAGGCAGATTTTTTCCTTAATTAAAATAATAGGGGTTGAATTCACTCTGGGTTTTGCTGTAATATGTTTGGAGAGTGCGCTCCTCATATTCCCATTAATCTTCCATTATTCCTCCATAGGAATTTATGGAAAATGTAAACAGATGAGCCAAAAATATCAATTTACTGCTTGTCTGGAATAAGTACAGCAACATAAATAGATCAAATGGAGAATCAAACCTTGCCCACTACACTGAAAGACACAACAATAAAATGGACAGGGTTTATATTTAAACCTGTAACAGTGTTTGCCTTAATGCCTAAGTTTAGTAAAAAAAAAAAAGGCACAAGGGACATTACTTACTATCATTCCAATGTGGCCATTGTACTGCTGGCTCCTACATAAGTTAAAATCTTCCTCCTTCGATCCCTCCATTTCTGTCTCCATAATCTTTTGGTGTAGTGAGGGTGAATAGATCCAATGGACCTGTGGCCGGCACTCATCAAGAGTGCTGACTATGCCCACCCTTTTCATCCATCTCCTCCAATCATTGAAGCTGTACTATAGCATGTATGAATGAAAAACAATCTATGGGCGGAGGATGAGCAGATGAATGAAAGGTCCACCTCCTCCATTCATAGATCTTATTCACTAAAGCTTTAGTATAGAGTCTATGAATGTAGGAGATAGGTAGAAAGATTGTGCATAATTGGCACACTTGATGAATGCTTGCCACAGGTCCTGCGCTGCTATTAACCCCTGCTGCACTGGAAGATTGTGGCAGCAGGGGTAGAGGGGGGGGATTGGAGGAGGGGGATTTCAACTAATGCAGGAGCCAGCAGCACAAGGGAGACACTGAACATAAGTAATGCTTTTATAGTTTTAAAAACTATATTTTTTTGTGCGCCCCAATTTAACCCTTCCCCCCTTACCTCATGGCACAGTTATATAGTTATCTAGGTTTTTACGCTAATGTTTCTTTCTTTCCTGAAGGAGACCAATTCAATCACTCCACCACAATGCTAACTTCAACAAGATTGCCTTCTGGACCATTTGCCCTTTTCCCTCCTTATATGTCTTCCCATGATCAGTATGTGAATATAGTCTTATCTCAAGTACATTTAAAGGCTTTTGTGTGACAGTCAAAACAGGTTTCAAATCCAGTTGATATGTGATGCAAAAGCTTCGTAAAGTAAAACACCTTCCTTTGCTTTTCCTGGCTGTGGCAAATCATAATTAATTTGTAACAATGTTGATAGCCAAGCTCTCTGAAACATCGTTTCATCGCATTCTAGTTTAAGTAGGCACAGCCTATATGAGGGTGACAATGCTGCTCTGAAATTAGGAGCAGTGTAGCAGTGTTGTCACCCCATTACAGGAAGGTGCTTGAGGTGCACTTTTCTGAAGGAGCAAAAGGTGTTAAACTTTGCAGGGGGACTAAAAGAAAACTGTAAGTGCTACACATATTTTAAATGGGTGGCCATAGTTCTTTAATTGCCTCTCAAAAAATTAGGGTTTGCTAGAATGTATTAATAAGGGTCCTGTAACACATTTTTGTAAAGCAATCTAAACTGGTAAACATAAGCAAACAGACAAACATTCCAGGTCCCATAGACCATTTATTCTTTAATTTATCCCTAGCGAGTCCCCATTGAGCTCACTTTTAATTGTCCTTTTAATTAGGGATTCCACAAAGATCAGTCCTGGTCTCAATACCATAGGATAGCCTTGTTGTGGCATATGTGCATAAGAGAGACATAAAATCTCTTGCAATATAATGACACCAGACCACTGTCACTCCTGTCATGACTACAAGTGATACTAAACCTATGGTTATAGAAGCGGATTCTCAAGTAATGCTACATCAAGAAATATCCCACAATAAAGGAAATATATCATCTCTGGCAGGATGATTATTTCTATATGAGGGGACTGTGTATTGATTAGTGCGCTTTGCTTATTAGTGGCCTGGAGTTGAAAAAATATCTCCTGTAAATACTGGCAGATTCAGGAATGTGTCACCATTCTAGACTCTAGCAGCCCATAGTGGCAGTGAGCAACATCTGGTCTAAAGAACCGACCCGCAGTCTAATCAAAACAACAGCATCACATGGTACATCACAGTACAGATTCCTTTGATTCTGGCACAGCCATGCTTGTAGGCTTGGAGGTTTGGTCTCTGTGCATTACAAGAGGAGAGGTTTCTTCTTCTGACTTGCAGTTTGGCACAGCCTCAACATAAACATCATTCAGCTCCTGTTGATTCTTTGCTACTTCCTTCTGGTTGAGATGATGAAGAATTCCTGCCCCAAGAGCATCTCCTTCAACATTTACTACTGTAGTTGTCCGGTCTCTGTTAACAAAAACAAAAGAGAATTTAAGTTTAGATTTTCTTTTTTACATATACTGTACATACATATAGAGGTCTTCAAAATGTTTCTGCACTTTTATATTTTCCTAGAAACGGCGAGGGCGGGAGAAGTAGTAATTGCTAATTTCTGAGAGTGTCATGTGACTAGTCTGTCTAGCAAGCCAGCTGTCCTTGCAGTTTAGTATAACGGTTGTCGTTGTTTTTTTTTGAATTCCTAATAGTGTTAAAAAAAAGTGCGGAAACTTTTTGAAGAACCCATAATTATATTATATTATTATTAATATATATAACCCATATATATATATATATAATGGCATCCTGGTCTGTAGGGTTTAATATTGAGTTGGCCCACCCTTTGCAGCTTTTGCAGCTAGTTTCAACTCTTCTGAGAAGGCTGTCCACAAGGTTTAGGAGTGTTTCTATGGGAATGTTTGACCATTCTTCCAGAAGCGCATTTGTGAGGTCAGGCACTGATGTCAGAAGAGAAGGCCTGGCTCGCAGTCTCCACTCTAATTCATCCCACAGGTCAGGACTCACTGCAGGCCAGTCAAGTTCCTCCACCCCAAACTCACTCATCCATGTCTTTATGGACCTTGCTTTGTGCACTGGTGCGCAGTCATGTTGGAACAGGAAGGGGCCATCCTCAAACTGTTCCCACAAAGTTGGGAGCATGAAATTGTCCAAAATGTATTGGTATGCTGACGCCTTAAGAGTTCCCTTCCCCGAAACTAAGGGGCCAAGCCCAACCCCTGAAAAACATCCCTACACCATAATCCCCCCTCCACCAAACTGTACACTTGGCACAATGCAGTCAGGCAAGTACTGTTTTCCTGGCAACCACCAAACCCAGACACGTCCATCGGATTGCCAGACAGAGAAGCCTGATTCGTCACTCCAAAGAACACGTCTCCACTGCTCTAGAGTCCAGTGGCAGCATGTTTTACACCACTGCATCCGACGCTTTGCATTGCACTTGGTGATGTAATGCTTTGATTCAGCTGCTCAGCCATGGAAACCCATTCCATGAAGCTCACTACTCACTGTAGTTGTGCTAATCTGAAAGTGCACAAAGTTTGGAGGTCTTCAGCTATTGACTCTGCAGACAGTTGGTGACTTCTGCACACTGTGTCCTTCAGCATGCATTGACCCCGCTCTGTCAATTTAAGTGGCCTACCACTTCATGGCTGAGTTGCTGTTGTTCCCAGTTGCTTCCACATTGTTATAATACCACTAATAGTTGACTGTGGAATATTTAGCAGCAAGGAAATTTCATGGATGGACTTATTGTACAGGTGGCAACCTATCACGGTACCATGCTTGAATTCAGTGAGCTCCTGGGAGCGACCCATTCTTTCACAAATGTTCGTAGAAGCGGTTCGCATGCCTAGGTGCTTGATTTTATACACCTGTGGTGATGGAGGTGATTGGAACACCTGAATCCAATGATTTGGAGGGGTGTCCCAATAGTTTTCGCAATATAGTGTGTGTATATATATATATATATATATATATATATTTCCAAGGGTAGCCGCAGCACTCTGTTTGAAGTAAGTGCCCAGGTGCTCACTCACAGGGAATCCATATAAATCCAAAACTGGTTTAGAGGCAATCACGGGTCTTGCAGAGGAGGAAGATCAAAAACAGCAGTGGTTTTATTGTCAACATTTCGATGAAGTTCAGTCCATCTTTCTCAAGACAATGGACTGAGCTTCATCAAAACATTGACAACCTGATCTTCTTCCTCTGTAAGACCTGTGAGTGCCTCTAAGCCATTTCTTAACATTATATAAACTGCACACATAACTTTAAAAAAAAGTTTTAAAAAATGAACAATGAAACTTGATGTATTACAGTTTGTAATTATATATGTATATTGGCATAGCTATATGAACACATTACACACAGTATGTACACTGTGCTTCCTGACTGGTCATGCAATGCTCTCATAAGCCATACTGTTCCTGGCTCTCCGTTCAAAGCAATAAGTCTGATGTTAAATAATACATTGTAACTCTCCTTCTGGTCGCTGAGGCAAGTACTAGTGCTGCTCAAGGACCCCTGCCATTCTTACAGCTAGCAGACATCGGGACTTTACATTCACTGTGTATGGAAAGCAAATACAATTTAAAGGGTAAGTCCACATTTGGATATGTGTTTAGTAAAAACGTAGTTTTGTTATTTGCGTTCCTTTTCATCTTTGTTGATAATCTCCCCGACTGGTCCGATTCTACGCACTACTCTTTTTAATTTTGAAATCTGGCTTTAGATGTTTAGATGAAGGAAAGCATGGGCAAGCTTCTAGGAGCATTTTTACTTTCTACACCTGTAAAGATTTTGGGATTGATTTACTAATGGAAAAGAGCATGTTCATTTTGCAAAGGAATTTTTACTTTGAAAGGTAAAGCAGGTGCACCACCTCTTCTGTCCATAATTTCAAGGCAGAAGAACAATGGGGCTGTTGAATATTAAATGGGAAAATACAGTAAGATCTTTAGGATTAATCTAATTTTATGGTGTGGAATAAGGGAAACTAGGAAATATGACAGGCATGTCACAAGGCAGCAGGATGTCATTGCTAACACACATTTAAAAAGCTTTGCAGTTTGTATTACAAATATGTATTGCACTCTACAGCAGGGCTTAAAATTTCAAGTCCTGAGCTACTAGCCAGGCCTTAAGAGTTACTCGCCACCAACAAACACACACAAACAGAGACACCTGTACACACACACACACACGTACATACACACACATAAACATGTACACACACACATACAGACACATGTATACACACACAGACACATGTACATACATACACAGACACATGTACATACATACACAGACATGTACACACAGACACATGTACGAACAAACACACACAGACAGATGTACACACACACATACATGTACATACACGCAGACACATGTACAGATACACACATGTACATACACACAGACACATGTACATGCATACACAGACACACACAAACACACACATGTACACCCCCCCCATAAAAAGTTGCAGTACTTCGTTGTTCACTCACAGAGCCGGGTACTGCACTCTCTAGGGCAGTGTTTCTCAATTCCAGTCCTCATGGACCCCCAAAAGGTCATGTTTTCAGGATTTCCATTATTTTGCACAGGTGATTTGATCAGTTTCACTGCCTTAGTAATTACCACAGCTGTTTCATCTGAGGGAAATCCTGGAAACATGACCTGTTGGGGGTCCATGAGGACTGAAGTTGAGAAACACTGCTCTAGGGGCAGGCAGAGTGCACAGCACACACTCCTTCTTTTGCTTTCACTGAGCTGAGCTATTGAGCAGGCGAGTGGAAATTTCAAGCCCTGCTCTACAGGGTGCAATACAAATTCATAGAGGAAGAGGCAGGAGGAGAGCCTAATCATGTGACCTGTCAAAACCATGTGACCGATTCTCCCCCAGACTGTTGAGTTAAGCAGAGAGGACTCCAGCTACACTGAAGACTGCAAATAATAATTTAAATGCATCCAACTGTATGGCATAACCCTGCAGAGTATATGGGATAACTATATTCCCTCTCCATTTTAAATGAGCCTCGAAATTTTATTAAATAGATACAGTTTGTTTTCATGATCCCACCTAAATGAATATGCTAGATTCTCTTGTTGACTAGACAGCAGTGTGTTTAATTAATGACAGGATGTCAGATGAGGTATTTCTATCAGAGGAATACTCACACAATCCAATCTACCGCCAGGATCAGTGACAAGTCATTTGTGGGAAGGCCAATTGCCTCTAAAATAATAGCGATAGTGAGGACACCTCCAGCAGGAATTCCAGCTGCTCCCACACTTGAGGCTGTTGCTGTCACACTAAGAATAATAAAGAACAATTAGACATCCACCTTCACCTCCAAGTTAGATTTTTAGACAGTGCTAGTTATGGGAGGTACTTTTGTGTAACTATTGAATAATATATTAATAGTAGGATGTTGATCTGTGAGCAAGCATTCTACATAATAAAACATTTTTTTCTGCAGGACAGTAGAAAAACAAGAACCCCAGAAGAAGGAAGTGGAGAGAGGCTGAGAAAGTCTGAGATGCATGTCCTGTCCATGGGAGAGTTGTTGATGAACCCAGACCAGAATACAGGGATCAGGGATGTGCAATTCCTATAGCACATGCAGTTCTGAGCGCTGGGCAAGAGGTTTTTCTTTACATTTGGCCCTGCTGTGGGCAAGCGGCAGGGTTTAGAGCCGACAGTTGGCTCTCTTGTAAAAGAAATCCAAGTGGCTAACTAGCCATTGGATCGCTTTTGCAAGCAGCGGGATGGGACATCTCCCCTTCCATGGGCTGTCTCATCGCACCAGGACACCCGGTCAACCATCAGACGCTACCGCCGACTGATCATAAAGGCAGACAAAGACTGGAACCACTCTGTTCGCCTCTATGATATAGAAAACAGGACGCGATGAGCATACATAACTTACGGTTTCTCCTTTGCAAATGGCGCCATTTTAAAAAAGGGAAAGCTTTTGATCACAATGATTTAAGGGCAGAGGAGGGATCTGGGGTCTTATTGACACCAGATCGCTCGATAAAGAGCCCTTGTCACTTCCTGTTGCTGTTACAAGGGATGTTTACATTCTTTGGGACAGGAATAAAAGTGATCAAAAAAGAAAAAAATTAAAGCGACAGTGTTAAAATAATAAAAGGTTTTAAATTTTTTTTTAAAACACCCCCGTCCACGCTCAGAGAGGTGAACACACGCGTCAGCCCTGCACATACACATACAGCAATCTGCCCACACATGTGATGTATCACTGAGAACATCCAACCATGGGCAGTAATTCTAGCACCAGACCTCCTCTGTAAATCTAAGGCGGTAATCTGTAAAGGCTATGAAAGAGTCACCTATGGATAATAACATTTTGTTTAGTATTGTGTTTTTTTGCATTAAAATTCAAGAGTGTATTTTTTTCAAAACATTATGTTTGAAAAAAACGCTGTGCAAACACAGCGTTACATAAACAAAAATGGCAAAACCCACTCATTTATTCTCTAGGGCCTCTGCTTTAAAAAAAATATTTTGCTATTGTTGCTTATAGCTTCTGGATATATTATTGTTATACAGGATTTATATAGCACCAGCAGTTTGCGCAGCGCTTTGCAAAATGAAGGTAGACATTACAGTTACAATACAATCTGGTACAAGAGAAAACAGAGGGCACACACTGTATATCTAAAGACCGATGACAGAAGAATTTGTTGTTATTATCTCACATACACAATGTTAGATAGGTATGTCTTTGATAATTTATATATGCAGTGGTCACCTTCCAGTATATTGAACCTGTTTATTGAAATAGAATTTATATGCAACTCCTGTTACTATGGCTAACCATGTCCCTTCCAATCTGGGATTCTAAAGCTAGTTTTAGCTCAAGGCTCAATAACCAGACTAGAGCCAGGTTAGGCATCTGACGGTCTATTCTGGTAGTTAAATGTTTGCATGACAGCTTAGAAACTACTTGGGACAAAGACACAGAGTAGTTCCAGTGCCACACCACCATCTCTGCTGTGAGAATTTGCATTCCAAGCTGGTTAGACAACAGTTGGAGGATTTGCCCATCACCAATGATCTTATTCTCAGGTCTGTAACACAAAGACAGACACAGCATTGCGATCATCCTCAGGGGCCCATGCAACATTCATCTGGAGGCATCTCTAATAATAACTATATATACCTGGGTATACAGTATGTGCCCAATTCTGCCAGAACTCTTGTTGGGCCCTTTGCTGATAATACCTGTTTCTACAGGGGATGTATGATCCAATAATCTTTTCTTATATAAAGCCTGTATTATTTCCATGCTAGTGTGCACTCTACATACTTATTGTTACTGTTGGTTGCAGTAGTTCCTCTACTCCCAATCACTTTGATTAGATTACTTGTAATTTCCCAGGAAGGGAATCTCCTCTGTTCACAGAGGCACTGCCAACTTTGTTATCAAAACCACTCTTCCACTGAGGGAAGGTTCTGGTTCTGGTATTTATCTACAGGTTTAGCACAATATCCTATTTGGGAAGGGACATTTTTCATAACCCCCCAAAAAGGGCTACATTATAATATTTATTAGTAACATTCAATGTTTATATATGTTTAGGTGGACATTGTTGTAAGGCAAGGTCTGCTTAAGATATCAACCCCCTTCCTGATAATAAATAGCAGCATCTGGCAATGCAGCATCCACATACCCTGGATTCTGTTATCTCACTATGATTTACCACCCTTCTATGAGATCACGTGGAACACTGAGTACTCTAAATATCATGAAATGATATTCTAAAAACATGCCAGACAGAGCATCTTCTAGTGAGAATGCTCAGCATTCCCTGGGATCTCACCATAAGGATCATGATATCAGCTGTTCTTTGGCATCACAGGTGGTAGCTGGGAATATTAAAAACCTTTTCTTACGGCTATTTAACATGAGGAAGGGGCCCAGATATACTAAGCAGATCTTGCTTTTTAGTGAAATTGTTCTAGTCAGTGCTGACCCCCAAAGAATTCTACAGTCTAATTCCCTTATGACACTGATATAATACTATGGATTCACATATATACCTGCTACAGTCAGTCTCAGTCTATTCAGATGCTAAATAGCCTTCTAGAATGTTCTTAGATTGTGATAAACTTAGTATTCAGAGGCAACCTATGTTACCAGTGTGAGAACTTACAAACTGTGTGTAGATTGAAAGCGGTTTGGAATTCCATAAAGGATGTCTGCACTTTGAGACAATTGTGCTGACTACATATTAATTATACTGTCCATTCTGCACAGTCGTTAACCAGGTAAATGTCTGCTTCCATTAAATGTTGATAAGTATAATGTATACTGGTTTACAGTAATTACGTATAATGATAGTATAAGAATAGGTTCATGGAAAGATGAAGCTTGTAGCATCTGCCAACTGTATGACCCATATCAATGCATCTCTACCTGTGATTGCTTGCTGCAGGATACACTCACAGTATATATAATGGTTGTCTCCATAGTTATAGATGCATTACATGTAAACACTTTGACAATTTTCCTGTACTGGGGAGGAGAGATAATAACAGATTGTTATCTTACAGGATAGTGAAGATCTGTCCAGCATTAAGTTCACTGTTGTTCATCTGGGCAATGAATACAGCTGCCATACATTGAAATATGGCTGCACCATCCATGTTCACTGTTGCCCCAATAGGGAGGATGAACCTGCTAATTCTTTTGTCCACTCCATTGTTCTCTTCAATGCACTTGATCATAGTCGGGAGAGTTGCAGAGCTAAGGACAGGAAATTAAATACTTATTAGTTATCACAAGATAGGCTTGTAACAAATCATCTGAATAAACTATCAAAAAAGCTCAGAGTGACTGGCTGTGCTTATGTGCAAATACCGACTAAACAGAGAGGCTTTCTCACCAGAGACACAGAGGGGACAAGATAAGTTAGAAGGAAACTAAAGCCTTTTTAAAGCGATACTAAAGGTTCATTTTTTTCTAAAATAACAAACATGTCTATACTTACCTGCTCTGTGTAGTGATTTTGCACAGAGCAGCATAGATCCTCCTTTTTCTTGGATCCCCTGCAGGCTCTCCTGGCTCCTCTGTTCTGTCGGATGTCCCCATAGGAAGGAGCTTGCATAGAATGTGTGAATGTAAAAAAATCTTGAGCTTTTATAACCGCTTTAAATTTCTAGATGTATACAGTCTGTTAATGTAATCAGCTGAATTTATTTAATCATATTATTACAGTAAATGTATTTACTATTAAGTGGTTCATCTCCAACAAGTCCAGAGGCTGCCCATCCCCACAAGCACCAATCCATTCACATCAACTTCAATAATCCAATTCTACTGCATGCCAACAGGAGAGGGAAATTTGGGCATGGGATACACCAAAACACTCAGTACTTAGCAGTTAGAGGGCAGTATTCTCTAGAAGTAGTAGCAAGTATCAAACAGTCTAAGATCCCACAGCTGAAGACTATGGGGCAAGTTTTTTTGGCATCTGGTTACCTTATTCTGTGGCACAACTGCTGGTACCCAGTGCACTACCCAATCACAGGGATCAGCTTAGGGTCACTACTCACAAGTCCCCAGTACAGCTGCCACCTTCCATCTTCCTCCAGGCATGGTCCAGTGAGTGGGATGGCACCACTCTGGACCAGATCCCTTGTGGTGTGGTTCAGAAATCAGCTCCATGCAATGTCAATCTAGGCCCTCAGCTCTGCTACTGCTGGGGCCTCAAGAGCATCTGTTCAGTCCACTGGCAGCCAGAGGGCAGTAGCCCTTCTGGCTCTGAAACCCTCCTAAAGAGAAGGAACCCTGCTTTCCTGTGTCTCAGACTATTTATCTCAATTCCAGCCCTCTACTGGACACTCCTTTCCAGGGATTGGCTGTAACCTGAAAATGTTCAGACTGTTTGTTTTGACTTTCCAGCCCTAAGCTCTGGAAGCTTCTTTCAGAGGCAGGTGGTAAGCAATTAAACTTCCAGCCTGTGAAACCCTGAACAGGCCAGAACATATGATTACTGCTCCCTTGATTACAGAGTCAAGAACTAAATTTACCTAGCATCCTACACTAAGAGGGTGCTACATCTATAAATGATATGCAATTTACCTGAGATTCATCCAAAACTTTCCCAGAATTCTTTATGCGATGTGCACACTATGTATAAAGCAAAAGTACATGCAGGGCTCATCTTTTCTTTCCCCCTTCCTCTCTCTCTTAAATCATTACAACAACATTTTTTAAATAATAAATACTGTTAAACTTCTGTATTATTGCATTTCCTGAATCCTTGCCTAGCCCCTGTGTTCAGCCCAAAATCTCACAAATGTGCAGACATTTCACGGGTTTCTGCCAGTTTTATGGGATCTGTAAGAGATTTGAGACATGTCTGTGTGCGCACATGATCCCCTCGTGCATGTGCAGAAAAGCCTTGGGTCTCTGGCAGTCTATGGGACCTGCATGCGCAAGGGATCTTGTGTGTGCACAGACTCTTTACAGGTCTCTGTCATGCCAGCGGCATGTCTGTGCATATGCGGGATATTGTTCCAACACAGAGCTGGAGTAGAGCAATGAGGGAGAATTTTGGCTGCCAGGAAGGCAATGCTGAACTTCATAGCCTAGTACATATGTTTTTTTTTTATTTTTGTCAGGATATAGCTAGGTAGGGTGGATCTCCTCTTGATGTAGGTCTATGATGTAACAAACCTGTATATAGACATATGAATATTATGATAAAATTAAAAATTTAAAAAACAATTGTTACACAAATCCTAATGATAAACATTTAGAAGGTACTAAAAAGAGAAAATGAGTCCAACCTTTGCCCCATTACAATAGTGCAGAGGAAGGTGAAATATCCTGAAATGCCAAAGTAAACCATTCAATCCAGTAAATAGTTACCTCTCTAACAAATAACCCCCAGGTTTGAAATATATAGAAAAACACACTAAAACATATTTATTTATTTAACCCAAAAACATTACCTTGTGACAGCAGAATAAATGGTTTCCAATAATTCTTAAAAGAAATTTAAAATTGAAACATTTTAATTCTGTTTTACAGTACATTTCCTTTTTCTCAATGCTGTTAATCTTAGTTTTTTTTTTAGCATAATTGGTCTCTCAAGGGAATAATAAAGACAGATTTTTTTCAATTCCCCTTCCATTTATCAAAGTGCCAGCTTCTTGCCATTATTTGGTGCTATTTTTAGTCAAACCTTGACATTTCTATGTACATTTAATAGCCACAGGGCCTCTGTATTTCAACAGGACATCCCAATGGGTAAAAATCTCTGGTAGAAACACCTAATTTGAAGCCATTGATTCTGCATGATAAGGATTCCTAACTCCAACCATCTGTCTCCACTACAGTCTCCTAGATGCATTGGTTAAGTGAGGTGACACAGGACTAAATGAATGGCAAAAAACTGTAGGATCTCCAAGAGTCATACTATAAGCCTTGCTCAATCCAGGCAAAGCATATTACACGTTGCATATATAAAACTAAAAATTAAGGTCATCTGAGTATATTTTTGGTCTTTAAATGCTTCCTGGACAGCATTAACAGTTTGCTGAATGAATTTACATCCTATAGTATGACTCTTGCTACTTGTATCCCACAATTTGTATATTAACACTCTTAGCCCCAGGCTAAGAAACTGATAATGTATCTTTTGCCCACTATAAGCTACTAAAAACCAATATATAATTACCGATCTGCTCTTTTCACCAGCAGAACTTTGTTAAATATAGTTTTTGGAACATTCGTTTGATTTTCTAATTGATAATGTGGTCAAATCGATTATTGTTTTTGACCTTAGTGAATGAGGAAACTCAAATGAGATAGGTAGAACATTTTCTCAAACTAACGAAATTGCAACTGTGAATGTGGTTTTCATTCAGGAAATATCATACTTATTGTAATGCACATGTGCATTCTGAAATCAAATGTAGAATTGTCATATGATTTTCTGAATTTCTGTCTGGGTGTTCAAAGAAATTCTACTAGTGTATGGCCAGCCTAAGGCAACAAGTCAAGTCCATTAATGAACTGCTAACTTTCTTCAGGAAACATGCAACTGAACTAACATCACAACCCATATGGAAGAAAAATATATTTGAAATATATTGTAAAAATATTCTCCTCAAATATATTGAAATATATTTGAAATACTACAATTTTGGCCATATTCAATATATATTGAATTTATATATAATATATATATATATATATATATATATATATATATATATACACTGCATGTTGAAATGCGCATTTTTTTCTATATTACAAAATATATGAAAAATATTTTAAAAATATACATTTTTAAAATATATTCTTCATATTTTTTTAACATATAAAAAAGTCATTTTAACATATATTTTTACAAATATTTGTAAATGCATTCCAAAAATGTAGATTTGTATTTTTAAAGACATACAGTATATTTGAAAATGTATTTTTAAAAATATTTTTCATATATTTTGTAATTAAAACACATTTCAACATACAGTATATATATATATTTACTCAAATATATTTTGAAATATATTGAATATGGCCAAAATTGTAGTATTTCAAATACGTGTCAATATATTTGGGAAGAATATTTTAAAATATATCTCAAATATATTTTTTTTCCATGTGGGAATAGCCACTCTTGCTAATTTACAGGATTGTCACTGGGCCTCTGGGCTGGAATTCCCCCACTCATGACAACAAATGGTCTGCAAGCTAAGACAATTTAAGGGATAGGTGGGTTGGGAAGAATGTGTGGGGGGTGCTGGTAGATGTGAGAATGTTGATAGGACAGGCTAAAACACCCAAGTGGCATAAAATACTATATGGGTATGTCAGGGTATAGCACCACACTTTAGCACACACAGAACACAAGGGTACAAGCAAGCAGGAGGGTCGTTTGGAGCACTACTGCAAGGCCTGGATAAAAGCAAAGCCCTGCACAGGTGAGCTATTTCTCCTGTAAATATTTCATGTCTTGGCATTTAATTCATTTTTTACTACCTCATTACAATTTATATATAGAAATTTATTAAATAAAGACCAACGGACGCTCCCACTGAATGGTTCATCAATCAGGGCATATATAGCTGTAATTATCTATGAGCTGCATACTAATCCATTCAAGTGAGTTGGGCTAAATGCTGAGTGTTGTGGCTGCATTTTGAGTTTATTAAATAAAGAGCTAAAGGCCATCAGAACTAAGCACTCAGTGATGCCCACTAATACTCTTACACATGACATTATTTCAGACTATGAGTTCAAGCTTGCTGAACAGTGAGCAATTACCACTCAAAGCCTTACCTTGAGGATGTTGCAAAGGCAGTTGCAAAAGGTGTTATCAGCCCAAGTAAGAATGTGAAGGGGTTTTTGCGTGTAAAGGCAAAATAAATAAGTGGAAGTACTATTCCTCCATGAATAATGTGACCCAGAATCGAAGCTATAATGTACTTCCCAAGGCTGGTCACCAGAAGCACGATATTTCCCATCTCAACAATCTTGCTGCCCACCAGGAACATAATTCCAATAGGGACATACCTAAAAGGCAATAATGAAAGATTAATTAATATATTTGGAACTTCACACAAGAGCACACTCAGAAAAGACATTTACTATTCATTTCAGTAAGGTAAAGGCATATGCCTTGAACGATAGAATGATTAGTACATTCCTTTAGTAGGAATCTGACCACTTCCTGGAAGTGTCAGTTCTCGTCTGTGCTGACTACTGCTCATACTCCCTCCTCCTGCTGCTATATTAATGGGTACTGGTTAGTAAACATTAGGATTTTAGGTATGATCATTGATTTGTTAGTTGTGTGCACTCATAAACTATATAAACAGAAGTACCAACTGGAGCAAAGAGCAGTGTCGTACAAGCATATGCATGCATATATTCTCACAAGTACTGGTGTATGTTCATGTACAGCCACTGATTTTTATGGACAGCTATATGCAGCATGTGACTCTCAGATGGGCAAATATGCCCAAAGTTTACATTTAGAGCCCCAGGTACCATGTGCGTAGGCCTTACAGAGGAATACTACAGAGTGTTACTTGAATCTGCTTGGGATGGATGTTACATCCAAGATGGTGGCAGCTGCAGCAGTCTTCGACCTGTTCAATATCATAATATCCATCAGCAATTATAAAGGGAAAAATTATGGGGGCAGGGTTTTTTTAAATGCTAACTGCCATGAGTTATTTCCTAGCTGACCTGAACAAATCCGTTCAAATATTCCAATATGATTACACAGAAAGTGGGAGTTCATATTCATTTGGAAGGAAGAAGTGAAGAAAAGAGTTGGCTTTTGGAATTAGACATGTAAATGGCTAACCATGTGGGCTACAAGAGCCAGGACTGCATTTAGAAGCATCAACTGAACTATGTAACGGCATTAGATCTCCAAAGTCCCCTGGATGGGATAAGTAATCTTTGAGTAGATAGATGATAACTACATTCTTAGTTCTTAAATCAGAGTATAGTTCTTCCTATATGGTTTTATTACGATTATTCAAATTTTTTTGTAATCAACATGTTTCATTTTTTTTACCCTTTTACAGCCACAACCATAAGTACTACAGCAAGGTAGTAAGAAGATTTTTTAAATGTAAAAGCCAGCTCTTCTTTTTCTTATAGATTTTTGCAAGGCACAGAAGTGTGTGTCCCCCATCCCAAACCATTCCCTGGAAAGTTTCCCCAACGTGCGTGCTATTCCTAGGAGCCCAGAATCAAAAATGAATATAACACTAAAATGGAGATCGGTGTGAGATCGTGAGATTTCCATTCCCCAATATGTGTGAATGAAGAACCCAAAACTCCTCTGAGGAGTTCTGACTTTCTAGCTGTCAAATCCTATCAGGAAGGCCAAGTAGCAGATTGGTGACTCTTTGATGTATCTGTGTTGAGTGCAGAGAAGAGTATAAGGGGACTACTGTCACCATATATTTCTGTCAATGCTTATTTCCTTGCATTATGTTAGTAAGACCTTGGGCTAAACCAGGGGGTGGGCAAACTTTTTGACTTGAGGGCCGCAATGGGTTCATATATTGGACCCGGGGGCCGGACCAAGAGTAGATGAATGATGTGTATGTGTCATCCATAGTAAGTATAGTAATATTCCCACATAGTAAGCATAGTAATTAATCCCCCATATAGTAATTCACCCCCCATAGTAATTCATCCCCCATATAGTAATTCATCCCCCATATAGTAATTCATCCCCCATAGTAATTCATCCCCCATAGTAATTCATCCCCCATATAGTAATTCATCCCCATATAGTAATTCATCCCCCATATAGTAATTCATCCCCCATAGTAATTCATCCCCCATAGTAATTCATTCCCCATATTAAGTCCCCAAGTCCCCCCTGTGTCAATTCACTTACCTTTGCTCCGCGCGTTCCTATCGCCGTGTCCCGCGCCGTTCCGGTGTAGCATGAAAATCTGTCTCCTATGAGGATCTGTCCCCCTCGACGTATCTGCGCATGTGCCAGTTTCAGGCATTAGCAGCCGATCAGCGATCTCCGGCACATGCGCAGATACGTCGAGGGGGACAGATCCTCATAGGAGACAGATTTTCATGCTACACCGGTCTTCAGGGCGGACTGTGAGAGGAGCCTAGCTCCGTGGGCCGGATCAAAAGGTCCGCCGGGCCGTATACGGCCCGCGGGCCGTAGTTTGCCCATTGCTGGGCTAAACCATTCCCAAGCTCTACAATGATCCAGCCAACTTTTAAAACATATTTGAACTTGCTGTTTTGGTTAGCGTATTAGAAACTGGCATATATTAAAGCAAACCTAAACTGGTAAAGTGATTATAAAACTCAGACATGAAATATAAACACAGCTTATTCCTCTATGGCATGTACTTGTCTCAATCCAGAGCTCTATGTGTCATTTCTGTCCGATGCTTTGTTCCTCTGCTATAAGCATGTTTTACATCTGATGAGTTTTCCTGACACCAAAAGAAAAATGGTGACAAAGAGGGACCTCCAGTACATTGAAGGCCTCAGCTCTGTACCTGTGTGCTGTGTGAAGGGGGGGTGTCCCTTCCCTCCAATTAGCTTTCAGAGTTCTCCTCATTGATGTAACTTCAGCTCCCCGCCCCCTGCTTTTCAGAGCAGAGAGATCCGGTGTAAATTCTGCAGTTTGAATAGATGTAGGGGAAAGACAGCTATAGATAGACAGGTACAACATATGTAGGATGATTGTTTCATCTCTGTGTATTACTTGAGGCCAGTCACCTCACTGGGTATAGCTTGATTGCCTATGGCTTTGGTAGTCTATTATAGTAAACCTAACTTTACAGTTCAGATCTGCTTTATGTTACCTATAAACATGATTTCCAGCTGATTCAGCCTTTATAAAATGTTTGGATTTTAACGGTCAAACATCAATGTTTTCCACCAAGGAAAACCTATACTGAGACGTGCTTTTTCTATAAAAATGCACACTTAAGGCTGCCATATACAGCTTGTATTTCTGAACAGTTGACTTTTGTTGAAGAATCTGCATAAAAAATTGATGGCCAAACAGGGACTGCATTCAATCAAATACAGACACTGTTCTGGTATTCATCCAGCAGCTGGAGCCAACTGTCAAAATAGAATAACTGGCAGGGGAAATTTGTCCATCTGTGCTGTTAAGCATGGATGGAGGAATATGTTAGATTTCTGAATGAAAAGAAAATCTATAAGTGTATGGTCATCTTTACATGATCAGTGCATGTGTGCTTATGGAGATATTACAAGGAAGATATTTCATTGATTTCATTGTGAGAATACTGTATGTCCTGCTCTCTTAAGTCATTTGGTATATTAAGTTATTTAAAATCTATAAACTGTTGGCGCTATATAAATCCTGTATAATAATATCAACCGGCCATTTGGAGAGGGGCATTTTTTAAATGTGTCTGTTGGCCAAGTAAAATTCCTTTTTAAAATATTTGATGTAAAAAATTTTTTTGCTGTATTTATGTAGGGAATTGAAGCATCTGAAATCACTTACCACATAATCCAAGACACAATAACCATTGTAGCCTCATTGAAAGCACTGAAAAATCGGATGAGCTCCTCCCCTTCTGGTCCCAATTTTTTCAAGGCCACTCCCAGGATAAGAGCAAAGAGAACCAGTCCCAAAATATTCATCCCTTCAACCTCTGTACCAACAGGCACCTGTGAATATATTTTTCTACAGATTATTAGGAGAAATTAAAACTTTACCAAAAGACTAGTAACAATTTCTGGCTGATGGTTGATTATGCAGCTTGTACACAGAACTACAGTTATCACCACTTATTCATTACTAAAGGTTAAATTCACCCAAATCAGGTTTTCTTGGACGTAAATCAGTTTGAAATGTAATTTAATTTTTAATCATTCTTCCCTCACCCATCAAATATCCTGGTGCCTCCTACCCTGCCATTACACACCCTGCTTGACTTTATACTACATACCGCTGTTTCCCATGTCACCTGCCAGCTATTGCTTTCTCTATAAGAGTATGTTGGAAATCCAGCATGGAACAGATTACATTTTTTACTTGCCATAACAGCTCTACAGGCCTGGTGCCCAACCTGCAACCCAGGGACCACATGTGGCTCTTTGACACTTATTATGTGACCTTGGATTTCCTGCAGAGAGTAGGTGTTTTCCTTACCTAGGCCAGTGAAGGAAAAATATTCTTTAACAATCTCACGCCTAAGGATAAAACAAATCTTAACGCCTAAGCACAATTTTGCAATGTTGACATGTGTTAGTAAAACCGTACATATCATCACAACTACATTGTACATCCAGGTGAATTATACCTTGTTTTTTTAAGAACAAATTGGGCTTTCATTTGGTGGTAAATGGTAATGGATAGCTCCTGATTTTTTTTTATTATTAAAGGAAAACTGGCCCAAAATAGTAAAAACAAATATATATTTTTTTAATTTAGCTGTGTTTTTCTTGTTACCATAACCTACCACCAAAGAACAACCCAAAATAAATTTTCCAGCTCTTGACGATCACAGCGATACCATATATGTGTGTGTTATTTGTTGTTTGTGCGAATTTTGTTTTTTGTTTACCTAAAACACACTGACACTAACACTAATTTATTTTTTTTTTTAAATCCTGACTTTTTGACCTTGACCTTTGGCCCTGACCTTGACCCAAACACTTACCCTGGCACTGAACTAGATCAAACCTTGATCTAGGTATTTTTTCTTTATTTTTTATTTTATTTAATATTTATTTATCTTTTCTTTTTTTTTTAACAAACTTTTTTTTTTACCCTCTATGCCAAGGAGTTAGAGAGATACAATGTATCTCTCTCCTCTGTTCATAGAGAGAAAAAAAAAACAAGGGACCAGGCTGTACAGTGACTGATCACTGTGATAGCCAATCAAAGGCTATCACAGTGATCATGTGACCCGAAATCAGGAGTCCCGGGTCCCAATCGTTAGAAAGTGACCCAGGGCTCTCAGTGACATCGCGGTCTTTGTGCTGGGAGCTTGTTGTGTGCCGCACTCCCAGCACAAAGACAGGTACACAAATATGCAGCCCCACAGTAAAAAGCCCAGTTCTGTGAGGCCGTATATTTGTGTGATGTTGGAGTCAAGGGGTTAAAATGGGTTTTAGTACAGTAGATAAATATTTTTGTTTAACCCTTTTACAATATCTTTTCTTTTTCCATGATGTTCATGCCTTTTCTGTTTTTAGTTTTTTTCTTCCTCTTTTATAATGAATCTTGCTGAGAGAAATATCAGCTGTGGCACAAATAATTTTAAGATGGGCACAAATGTGGAAGTATAAGTTTCTACAGCAATGGTCTCTAGCAGTCTCATGTAATGTGTTCCTAGCCTATGACTGTCTACTGAGGCATGCTTTCAGTCTCCAACTACCTCCAACACAATGTGCACAATGGGGAAGGTTTACTAAAACTGGTGCACACAGAATCTGGTGTATCTGTGCATAATAACCAAGCAGCTTCTAGGTTTTATTGTCAAAGCTTAACAGCTTCCTGACCGCCCTATAGCAGAACTACTGCTACAGGGTGGCAGGGCTGCGCAAAATCACGTATATATATGTGATTTTGTAGTTCCAGGTAGGGGGCGCGCGTGCCATTGGTGGCTACATCTGTCAATCACCAGGTCCTGGCCAGAGATTCCCCGCTGGCACCCAGCGATCGCCAAGGAACACTGACAGAGGAGAGGTCTGTATGTAAACAATACAGACTCTCCCCTCTCAGCACCAGCATGCTGCTTTCCATTGCTCTGCATAGCATTGAAATACAAAGCAGCGTGCTTACATAATAAAGCACACTCAGACAACACAGTAAAACAGCACACAGTTAACCCTTTGATCACCACATATGTTAACCCCTACCTGCCCAGTGTCATTAGTACAGTGTCAGTGCTTTTTATTAGCACTGATCACTGTATTAGTGTCACTGGGGATGTCAGTGGCAGTTAGTCAATTCCCCCCCAGTGTCAGAATGCCCGCTGCCATCCTGCAGTCCTGTTATAAGTCGCTGATCGCCACCATTACTAGTATAAATTAATTAATTAATTAATTAATAAATAAATAAAAAATCCAGTATATATACTGCCATTTGTAGACGCTATAACTGTCACGTAAACCAATTATTTACATGTATTGGGATTTTTTTTTTAGCAAAGTCATGTAGTAGAATACATTTTGGCCTAAATTTACGCCGAAATTTGATTTATAAATTTTTTTTACTGGATATGTTTTATAGCAAGAAGTCAAAAATATTGTTTTTTTTCAAAATTGTTGGACTTTTTTGTTTATAGCTCACAAAATACAAAACACAGAGGCGATCAAATACCACCAAAAGAAAGCTCCATTTGTGGGGAAAAAAAGAGCATAAATTTAATTTGGGTGCAGCGTTGCATGACTGCGCATTTGTCAGTTAAAGTAACACAGCTCTGTGTCGTAAAAATATCGGGGTGCCATGACGAGGCTCTGTAGCTTATGCATGTATTTGCAAATGTGTGCTAACTAAACCCCTTTTTTTTTAATGCATACTGTTAGACAGGTTAATCTGCAGGCTGGTTGGCAAGCTGAGCTGGGAATTTTTCTTTTTTGTTGCTTGACATGCATCGCCCTTCCATGTGCTCCTTGCTGTGAAGGTCAGTTATAGACTGGGGCAGCGGCCATTTTCTGTGCCGTATCGCAAAAAATGGCCTGATCAGGAATGGGGGTAAATCCTCTGAAGGGCAAGTGGTTAATTGAATAAGGTGAAGTTAGAAGCTAATTGGTTACCATGCACAGCTGTACCAGATTCTGAGTGCACCAGTTTTAGTATATCTCCCCCAGTCGTTTTCCATCTATTGTAGCATGTTTATAGTCTCTGACCATCTCTTGTTGCATGTCTGCAGTCACAGCTTTTTGTAGCATTACTGTCTCTGAATGTTATGTGTGGCCCTTTGGTGATGTCAGGGGCCCACAGTTGAGGCCTCCTATATCAAGAGAGTTGAGCACCACTGCTCTACAGAGAATGTGCATTGATGGTTTTTCACCCTAAACAAATTAGGTTTAGATCATATTTTGGACTACAGGAGTCATTCACAAGGACTAAGCAAGGCAAGTATACAGTGAATAGTTCATTCAGCATTATACCATTGCAAAGATTACACTAAAATACACTCTTCTCATTGGTTGTATTATTTTCAAACATCATAATGGGCTTATTGCCTCTGAGAAACCATAGACTTTAAAGTCTTCAGAGAAAGTTTTATTTCAGCACTTATGGTTGTATGTTGTTTATAAGGAAATGGCAGGTCATTAAGTAAGAGTTTCGACCTTTACCAGTCATGCCAATTATCTGGTCTTGCCTTCTACTGTCCTATTATCAGAATTATGAAAAAAAAATCCTAATAATCTCTAAGGAAATCCAACAAGAACATTGTGAAATGGTAATAAGTGCTTATTAATTCCCTTTTTCCTGTAATACAACAGACACTGAATCATTAGCTACAGCAGACAAGGATCTAATGAGATAATTGTGATGTTTGTCTGCAAGCAAAAGTCATCATTAGTATGCAGATAGAAGGAAACTTACTGAGACTAGGAGGTGAGTCAAGGGACATATCATGTCAAATAGACTTTTATAGGAAATACATTATGCTCTATAAATTAGCGTGCAAGTTCTATAACACCTAATTGAGAGATTACATGAATGAAATGTTGGAAATTAGCTAAATCTAACTAGTTCAATGCAAAATGATGTAGTGCACTCAGGCAGGCTGTATCTCCAGGTGCAGTCATTTATGTAATGATGTACTTATCTGTAAGTACAAATCATATAATATTAGTGTCCAATTTATTGAAAGGAAACTTGCATTGAAAGAGACATATGATAATATCCTTATCTAAAAATGCTAGGTGCTTGGCTTTCATCCTGAACCTCTTATACTCTTCAGTCACTTACCTGGAAGGGTACAGATAACATTTTACTTTATTTATTTCAGGTACTTATATAGCGCAGTCAGTTTACGCAGCACTTTACACATATATATTGTACATTCACATCAGTCCGTAACCCTCAAGGGGTGTACAATCTAAGGTCCCTAACTTACATTCATACATACACATATTAGGGCCAATTTAGACAGGATCCAATTAACCTACCAGCATGTCTTTGGAGTGTGGGAGGAAACCGGAGTACCCAGAGGAAACCCACGCAGTCACAGGGAGAACATGCAAACTCCAGGCAGGTGGTGCCGTGGCTGGGATTCAAACCAACGACCCTAGTACTGCCAGGCTTTATTTTGACTTTCCTGATCTGCATAATTGTTGCTGGTCAATGACTCAGAAAGTATTGAAACCAGAAGGGTATTACACCAAAACACATGCACTAGCACATGCGCAGCAATGTGTTTTTTTCTGATTACTTTTTTCTTCTTTTTTAACTTGATTCTATTACTGTTGCCTTGCAGCTACATTGCACAAAAGTGCTACATATCCTATTTTTTTCAGCACACCAACACAGTGCATTGGTATGAACTGAAGCCATAGGACGTAGCCCTCATGCACACTTGAAGTTTTTACAGCTGCTGTTTTTGGCTTTTGACATTTTTTTCTACAGTTAGTAAACCCCCCAGCATTTTATCCTATGTGTCCGTGCACGCAGACTG